CTGCGTGCCAGCAGATAAGACTTCTTCAGTGAATTTCATCTTTTCAATTAGACATGAAAAAATCATACGAAAATCTGCTATTGGAGTAAATGAATGAACGAGTTGAGATTATTGAAGTGGGTTCAACATTTCAACAAATTCTTAAGCGATTTGTCAGCACATGAACGCTGTTTATTTTCATTTTAAGCGTATCATTTTGAAGCAAGCGGTTCTCGGAAGAGTATTAACTCAAAACGGTTGGATACTCGGAATGGGAGGGTGGTACTCTGAACTTGGACATACAGATCAAAATTTTTTATAGTTTTGAAACGATGTGCCAGCATAATATGATCTTGCACTCCACTCCATCCATCAAAACATTGTTAGTGAATGAGTTTTATGTCTCATTGATATTTAATGTGGTGCTTCTATGCAGCTATTATATTTGTGCCAGAAGCGAAACGGAATGTGCGTTCTGTTTTGAGAGTTAAGCATGAATGAGAACGTTTACGAGGTCATTGCCATTAAATATGCATTGAAATAGGATTACTTCTATTGAGCATTTACAAAAGTGAAAAACGTTTTGTTTATGAATAACATCTCGATTCCGTGATACCAATTCCAAGATCGACTCAAGGGACGCATTTCCTGGTCAATTCGAGTGGTGACACTGAGCAACACGAGTGTTTTGAATGATAATTGAAAGACAACTAACTAACTACATTACCAAATAAAACGCAGCATAACGACTCACATTCTGCGACTTGTGACAATGTTATTCCAATAAAATTTCCAGCTAACGATAATGAAACCCTTAAATTGAGGAAAGAGTTTCGTTGCTTACGTAAACTCTTGATCAGTTGTTAAAATCACAGAGATTTTGTTTAGCCATCAAATTGTCGGATTTATGAAGATATAATTTTGAAATTTTTGAAACCAAATTAATTCGCTTCTGACAAGGATATGAACAACTTTTGTATAGAGCAGGATTATTTGAATTACATAAAGCATGGTGAAACCGACTAAAACATAATTCAATAATTTTTGAGTGACGTGACGTGGTATATCATGGATGACGAACACCTCCAATGGATGACGAACACCTCCAATGGATGACGAACACCTCTAATGACGTGGTATATCATAGAAAGAAAATGTATTCATGTGCCGTACAAGGCTGTAACTTGCTGATAAGCAGCGAACGACAGAAATTATTTAGAGAGAAGTATTGCGTTCAGGAAACGAGTGCAATCCCTTAGTTGAGTTCTGTTATTTGTTTCCGCTTGTTTTCTCATTTTATAGGAAGTTGTTTATCAGTACCATTGCTTGCAAGATGCTGCCAGACACTTTACTGGGAGCAAAGCTGAATGCAATCGCTATGTTAACACATTATCANTTAGCAAACAATCTTTATGAACAAAGTTAGTACAATGGAAGAGAGGAATGCCGAATCGCAGAACTAAAAATATTCATTAAATTGAGACAAAAACGATCGATGAGCTTGATCAACAAGACGAGTCCAAGCGAATATTTTCAAAAAATTGCGTTCATATTCCACTAAAATGGAAAAGCGGATCAACAGGTCACAATGGAACATTCAAAAATGAGAGCATTATTGTTGAGGTTTTGGTTGCTACGGAAATCGAGCACTTTTTATGACGAGATAATACTTTTGGGAAATCTGTAACTCTCAAATTTGAATTGTTGTTCAAGTTCAAGTACAAGTCAAGTACAAGTACTCACCAGTTATTTCATGAGTTATGTTTTAATTATTTCTTTCCATGCTACTAATTTTCTAATCTCTCAATCCTAATCTTTATGTAGCTGCTGTCTTGATAATCATAAAATTTAATTACATATTTCTTCGTTTCGAAATTTACCAATGATTAGAAGAACATTTCAGTTTTGATTCTGCTCACAAATGAGTATCATCCAAAGCAACTTGTACAAGTTATGAATTCAGCAAAATGACCGAAAGAACAACATATCGCCCATAATTTCGTAGGCATTTTCAGCGTTAGCAAAGGCTTACAAATGGTTTCTTTGATAGAAGAGTGTACTGTTGACTTTTGCACACATTCACATGATTATTGCTTCTTATTCTTACGTTTCACTGAATCTTTACGTAAATGGCTAATTTGTCCAGTGTAGAACTGAACCACTCAAAGCAATCGTCGTTGTTCGTTGTACTTCTTCTTGCGTTCTGAACAGAACGACCATTTCCGTTCGTTAACAAATTCTGAATTGGGATTTTGCGTTCAAGTGTGATTCTTGAATGCAATTCGCTCCACTTGACCAGGCAAACATCAAACATCTCGCTTAATTGCTTCACCGATTGTGGAATGGCAAAGTGCGATAACTGCGATTTACGCTAAATTACTCTCGTTACGACCAACAGATCTGAACTGATGATTGAAGTGACGAAGATCGATTAATGCGTATTTGTGTAATCGCTTGCTTGAAGCTAATTCAAGCGTAATTACTAAGAGAACTGAATATTCACTATGCGTTTTAGTATTTTTCTGATTCTAATACTAATAATAGCAGTAGATGTCACAATGTCATTAGGATTATTATTGTAAAATTTTGAAAAATAGTAATGAAATTTCGAAACCTTCACTAAACACTCTCGTTTGATCTTATTTTTGCAAACGACTTTAATAGTTGCACGATTCACTACGATTTTTTCATGCATTTCAATGCATTAAAACATTGCATTGAATCGTCTTCTGTCTTATTGCGTTTTTTTTTGTCTTTTTTACTGCTTCAAATGCGATTAATTGCATGATTTTATAAATTTTAAAATTTCGATTCTGCAGTTGGTGATCATGGTAATTCATAGATTGAATTCCATTTATTTATCAAACAGTGCAACAAAAACGACCAATCGCATCTGTACTTGTGCACACGAGTATGCGATTTGACAGTGATCAATAACTAAGTTGAGAAGTAATTTGAGGTAGTAGAGATAGACAATTAACATTTAAATGCTCGCTTAAAAATAGTAACCATTAAAATATTAACAAATCAATGGAGAATCTAAAATATCACAAATAATCATCGATTATTTCAATGAATAGACTAAAATATTCAACGAATTCATTATGCTCATTACACTTTCACGCACATTCAATGAATAACTCAAACATTCAATGAGCCATTCCTTTGTTATTTTTCGAAAATTAGTGCATCAAATACCAGTACGCATTGAGGAACATTGATAGCGAATTCCTCTGGATAAAGAAATCTACTTGAATGAAAACACCATTGAAAATTACACCCGAACAAATGCTTTCGGAATTCGATCACCGTTTCAAATTTCGCTGTCGATTCAAATCGCATCAAAAAATTCGAAATTGTTTCCGCTGGAAATCATTTTTTAAAATATTCAAAATATTTTTCTTTTGGAAAATGTTTCACATTTTGCGCCGTGATGGCAGAGGCAGTTAGTTAAACAGAACGAATATTTGGGTAATCTTTTGGCTCCGGAGCGCCTAAATCACCGACGTAACGCTCTTGTATAGATGGCCTCAGACCGCAAGTCCTTCGAAATTCTTGTCCGACTTCATGAATCCATTTATTGGCCACCCACTTGATGCCAACCAAAACCGGACATGCCGCATGCCGCGTCCGGAGATCACCTTCACCGGATCGGTAAAGGTTATACCAGAATAGCGCATCATTCTGAAGTTAAGCACACGGTTTTACCAATCGTTACAAATCGCGTTACAAATCAATCACACTGAATGTTTTCGTAATGTTCACTTAATTTCATTCGGTTGTATTCTCGACTGATTCTGAATCTCTGAGCAAACTGAGTACGTTATCTGATATTTATTGAAGGGTCTGAGAGCTTCGATATGAAAGATCGAAATCGAATAAAGGCAACAGAATTAAGGAGGGATTATCACCTGAGATGGCATGACCGTTGTTTTGATTTCCGTGAATACTGTACCTCCACCAATTTCAGGTTGAGTCAACTGAAAGTGTTTTTATTGTGGACGAACGAACGATGAATTTTAGAATGAAGGCATGCGCTGGTTCTGACTCGACAGAGTGTTAAAGTATCGAAAACAAAAATTTCGCGANTCGCGAAATATCAGAAGAATAATCTCATGTTGACACGAATTTGATGTGATCTTATCGCATCATTTCTCACTCTTGCAAACGTTTCCGTTTCTATACAGTCTCTTTATCTGGAATATTCCGTAAACAGGAATTTTTTTCATAAATTCATAGTTCAACAACATTCCGATTCACGTTTCAACAATCACATGTAACATTTACATTCACTCACATAAAAAAGAACGGTTGCCACACGATTGCCAGTTCCCAGCGATTCGAACGCTCTCGGTTCATCTTTCTGAAATGATTCACTGCTGAAAATGAATTTTGAAAATTTGCAAAATAACTTTTGCACTACGTTTGCACATTTAAATTTCTGCAACTTGCAAATTGTTGAATGCCGTTGAAATGAGCATTTAAATTCAGTCAGCAAAACTCATTTCGCTCTGTTAGCAGAAAAATTTTCAATAATTCCGGGAACGTCATCTAATCGGAAATTTCAATGCTCCATTACATTAATTGGTTAATTAAAATGCAAAAAAACAATTCTAATTTATCTTCATCATCATCATCATCANCGTGATCAGCTACATGAGCCCTACAAAACGATATAGGTCTCATTCCGAAAGGCGGGGGTAACTTCGTGAGGTTTCCTCGTCAGTCAACAATACTCATAATCAAAGATTTGTGTTTTCGCGTTTGCAAATCAAACATTTTGCAAAATTTACTCAAAATACTTCGATATCTCTTCGATACGCTTTCTGATGGCGACCATACAATCGCTCGCACGTCTTATGTCGTGATGAACATCAATGAAAGAATAGCAAATCGAACACATTCATAAATTAAACATTCACAATAGGAAACAGAATGCATTAGAATGGAAACATTGGTGATGAAGAAATGAGTGAAAAGATTCATCAATTCAGTCACAACTGATTAATTTCACTTTCTCAAGCTTTACGGCAAAAACTTACTTGAGCAAAATCGAAATGTGGATCGTAATGGCCACCAATACCGTAATTCGCAATCTGAAAAATTCTCTGGATAATCGTTCGATACAATTTTTTGTATTATGCAGATGTAGTCAACACATAAGCAGTCTGTCTCTACTTGCAAACGTCAATGATTTTAGTGGGATATGAATTCAAAAATTTGTATGTGATCAATTGCACTCGTCAAAAAGAAGGAAGTGTTTATCAGCTTAATAACGAATAGACGCTAAATCATCTGCTAATTAGTGAGCAATTCATGGACAATGACAGGAATTTTGGGTGAAACAAGACGCGCTTCATTATCAGTTCGTCTTAGTTTTCTAGGTAAAGTTT